TATTATGAATTTAAACTTAAACCACCTGTTGCTCAGAACAGACAGCTAAGACCATCTTCATTATTTTGCCTAAATAACGGTTTTTTACCATGTATATCTGTTCCAAGAAATACAAGGAATATTTATAAGAGGTCAATGAAATAAATGTAGATGTTATGAAAAACCTCACAACGTAGTCAGTTGCTCGACCATTTTGAAGACTGTTCAATACATTAGTAATTGTTAACAAGAAGCTAAGCAAAATTCCTAATATAATGTTTAAATGTAAATACTTTTATTAAGAAACAGTTATAGTTGATTTGTAATTTGAAGTTATTTGTTTTACATATTTTTTTCTGCTGCATATCAGCTTATATGACAATCACCACTCGCCGCCTTGATATGTACAATGTAACTAAATATTTCATATTTCATATTGGAGTAAGCTCAGAATCAGTAAAAATACTACCCCGTCGGTTATAACAAATGACAAACTACATATAAACTTTTTCTACTTATATATTTCTTGTGTTTTAATGGTCGATATGATAAGTTTTCATCAGTTTACTGACATATAAAATTATGTAAAATAATGATGTTTTGCCTAAAACCTATATCATAGATCAAGACTATTAAGATATTTGTTGTTGTTCATTTCTCACAGAAAATGATTACCCGGTTTAAAAAAAAAATCCTTTAATAGCAGCCTTGAAGTGTTAATGAATATTAATATCCTTTAATTTGTTGTGCCAATTTGTGAATGCGTCCGTATAGCTTAAGGTTTTACTCAATTTCTTTTCTTTTGTTACAAGTGTTATTACCGATATATAATTACTCAGAATTGATTAAAAACAGATTATCATATATATGAACAAAATCATTAAGGGTATAGACTAAATAAATGTGTAACGAAACCACAGTAGTATATCAAAGTGAAATTAACTGTATTTGTCGTGCTTTCTTAACTTTGTTAAAACAGTTATGTATTTTTATAAATACTGCGTCTCTCGTCTCTGTGGTAATATCACTGTGCTTAAACGGCTGTGGGAGTCGCCTGGCATCGTTAAGAAACTTCTTTCCTATATAAAAACAATACCATGATACAACACAAATGTTCAGTTATTAAAACTTTGTATCAATCTTTTAGGGAAACTCCTAAACGTAAAAGGTGATTAAATACTACAAAATAAACGATCACAGCATGATTTGCGAAAACACTTAGGATGTCCGTAACTTGAAAATAACTTGTCCATAACTTTTTTCATTACGCCAGTAGGGATGTCCGTAACTTTAACATGATGTCAGTAACCTAGGACATAATATATTATAGTATAATAGTCCCAGCCGTAACTTTCAAAGAATCGATATTCGTGGATTTAATGTTTAAACATATAATAGAGATGGCACTGTTCACAATATATAACACTAGGTATAGTGAAGAGACCATACTTTTTTGGCTAACAATTCAGAAATTATTTAAAACAAAGGGTATCATTTTTTTCCGCGGCTACTAAGGCCAAGGACTCAACAGTGAACAATCTATCAAGCCAGAAGAATGTAAGATAAATTTCGCCGTACCATCAGATCCCGTGTTATGTAAACACTCTGCAAAGTATACTTTGGGTGCTGCTAAACCAGGGTTTACTGGATTTATCTATCAACAAAGTATCCGAATATCGGGAATTATTTAAAAAAAAATTAACGGTAAATCCGTAAAACTCGAGTCTGATTTTTTATAGCTATGTTCTCTTTTCTCTTGGTTATTTTGACGCATATCGTAATTGTATAAAACTAGGTAATACATAAGGGGTTTGATAGTGTTTATTGTCCTTTAATTGTTGAAATTATCAATCTTACAATTTGAAGGGGCAGCCCCGATACTCCGACACCCCATTAGTCCGACACCTCAATAGTCCGACACCCCATTAGTCCGACACCCCAATAGTCCGACATCCTATTGGTTTTACAACCAATAGGTCGACATTCCATTAGCCTTTCATCGAAATGTTGAAAAAAAATGTATTTTATTTTTATATTATATAGAAAGCCTTATAAAAGGTTCGTTCAATATTAAGAATAGGACACTGTCCTTCGTGGGAACAGGTGATGCAAGCTTGGTTAATGTATTAGTACTCAAGTAGCAGAATTTCGTCACCACTAACTAAAAGCACAAACTACGTTGTAAACGTTAAGTCTTGGCGAACTGCTTAAATACCTCTCGATACAGTATCTCAGAGATACAGGTTAAAAATAACGCAGTAAGAAAATAAAGGAACCAATGAAGCTTTGCTGCGTACACGATTATATGTGTGAATATGGCTTGAGTGAATAAGACGGTCACGTTTTTCTGATATACCGGTAACTCTAGCGACAAAAAGTAATAACGGTGCTGTAACTCAACTAAAACTTATAATTTAATATTTTTTTTGAAAAGGGGAGCTAAAATGTAACAGTATAATGTCATTAGTTGAAGAAGAACACCAGTTTAGTTTGTATATATGGGCACCGATATTTAAGAAAGAGTGAAATTAGGGCAGAACACTTGTGTTGAAGTGTTCTGTTGTAATTTCGCTCTTTTTTCAAATAGTGGGTAAACTGGTTCAATGATTATCTTTCTTCCAAATAATACTCTTCAGTTTTTTGAAGCGTTCGCCGCACAGGGGCTGCGTATGCAGATAAACATTTTTATGCCTCTGCCGTTAGTCGAAGGGGGCATTTAGTGTTACCCTTGTCCATCCGTACGTTCGTCCGTCCGTCCCAAAATTGTTTTCCGTTCTCTAACTTTATGTAGCAATACAGTTAGGATTTTAGTTTCGCATTTTGGCCATAGTGAATCTTTTAAATATGAAAGTTTTTGTGCAATAAAATTGATTTTTAGATAGCTGAAGAATAATATAGCCTTCAAAGTGGTTTATATGAACATCAAGATTGTTTTTTGCATCTTTTATAGGCCATTTTTTCTGTTTGACAGTCCACATTTTGAATTCCGTACCTCCCATAGGTCCAGAAGTTATTGTAGTGTTTTTCAACAAATATTTGACCCTCGAACTTTTCAATTCAGTTTTATGGAAAAATGAGGTGAAATGCATATGATTTTTTTGGGACCTCTTGATAGATTAATACCAATGATTTCAGAAAAGGTATCACTCTAATGGATTGAAATTCTTCATTGGACCAAACTTTTGGGACTTTTGTCACATTTTCACCCCCCTTTTTGCAATATTTTGTATCAAATAAATGCAGATTGTTGCCATGTTTACACCAAAAAGAGATTATGCTTCACATTTTTAACAATTAAAAATCAAATTTATAGAAGATGCTGTTTCCATACATATGCACATACATAACACAAACATTAAGCCTTATTTGTTAGAAAACAAGGGAAAGAGGTGGTTAAAAATTAAGAGTGTCAATTTGAAGTTTTTTTCCTAACTGTGTATTGCTTTTTTAATTGCCATTTATTCTAATCAGGCATCAATATTTTGTAGTTTTCTAGCAATGCGCAGTTTACTATCTACATCAGTATACGGAAAAACCCTAAAGGGATCTAAGTCGCCATTTTGAATAGCCTACCCTTCTTTAAATGAAAAATAATTAAAAATATTTTTATGTGACTGTATACCTTATAAAGGCATTCATTTCCTTCCTAAATGATTCGTCGATCAGAAGTATATGTTGATTTCCCGATCAACGACTACCTTACTCAGCTATCGTTTCAATCAGGTCAAAAAATTCATATTTCCCGGCAAATGCAACGTAACTGGCAAACATGTCGTTTTTCAACAACATAGACGCAATGGGAGATACATCTGTCATTACATCCAGTGGCAAATATGTCTGCATGTTCAGGATAAGAACTAATTAACAATAAGTCTAGTAATAGGGGTCGACCAGAATGAAGAGCGGTAATATGAAGCAGTAATATTCACTGTAAGTCAATTCTGACTGCAAATGCCATCCGTTTTAATTGAGTTTAACAACCGTAATAAAGCATTCAATAAAGAACCAAATATAATCGATTGTTCAATTTTTCTATGATTATTTTTTTATAAAATTTTTGATTTTTAAATTCAAGTTTGGTGGAGATGGAAACCAACATGCTTGGATAAAATAAGTTATTTTTTGTTTGTTAATGAAATCTTTTTAGTTAGGTTTCGGAGAGTATATTACAGTCTGGACATTTTCTTTACGACGAGAGACTGTTCTTCAAAATTCCAAATTCTCTTCACCCCAAGGATGACTGGGGCATACATAAATATGTTAACTTTTTTTTCGATAAAGTAAACCCCTTGTCAAGTGGGGTGTCCTTTGGTTATGCTGGATGTATAAATACGTAGCCACGTTCGGTCTGAAAAAAGGACATTAAAACGGATGTCTCGTGTAGAGAGAGTGGCACTCTCTCTGCACTTTAATATACCTTGCAATAATATGGTAGGTCCGTAGGTGGTACCCATACTTGTTTACTATATTCGTTCCTCCTAACAGAAGTTCCACTGGAAACTTTGTTATAAACAATGCTATAGTATCTGTTTCTTTTGGAAGAAATATTATATATACCTTTTATTTCGTCAGGAACAAGTAATATTTTTTTCCAGTGGAAATAATATTCCATATTTAGAACATTTATTTAAAGGAACATCTATTCCATGACAGTCTGTTGCCAGGCCAAATTTCTATGCCTATCCAATATACCCTCAATTTCCCGTGGCAGGCCAAATTTTTCATATTATTCCTTATTCGATATAATTATATCAAAATATGAGTGGTGTGCATGGAAATCTGATTCATACTTCGTCTTTTCTTTTCATTCTTTAGTTTTGTATATGAGCAACATGGATATCTAACATAATATATCGTGGTGAAGAAGAAAACCTATCTCGTACATAAATTTGAAACTAAATTTCCAACTAAGAAAATAAAAAAAGGAAGTGAAATTAGTCTTGTATAACAAGTTGAATTATAACCATAAATAAATATCCATTGTTAGTAAATACATTGAAATATATCCAATTCTTCCCAATAGTTTTCACTCCGACAAGCACTATCTCCACTTTTTCATCAGAACTAATGTTCCCAGTCAAAATCTGTCGGCCAAAAAATTTTTGTCGTGATATGTACAACTCCGTTTGTAGCAGAAATATCCGGCAAAACAAAATGGGATCCATTTACAGTCACATTACCTACAGTAAATGATATATAGAACAAAAAATGTATAAGCAATGGATTTAATCTTTTAACGGCTTTTTCTATCTTTCCGTCTTAATACGAAAGACAGCATTATAAACCCTTTTTAGATTCATCTATAATAAGTAGATGTTTCATGTGCAAGTAGTGTGCTTCGCGATATTCACTACAATAATTAGTTGTTCACATGGATTATGTCCGGATTTCAATTCTTCATCTTCCCCGTGATTTAAAGAAAGCTATGAGCGTTGAGCAATGGAATGTGAATAATTTTCACGTCTTCTTCCTCTTTTTTCATTGATTTCTTCTTGTTCTAAGACGGAATGAACAGAAAAAATTGTCTCCCATGATATCAGGGAGAAAGAGCATATTTTTTGTAGATAATCTAGAAATAATATAAAATGCCTCCTCTGGAAATAAGTAGTCGATTTAGTTGTGTTTAGATATTAATGAAACATATCCTAGATTCATTAATGCTCTGAAGTTAGGTTTGAAACATCAATGTTTGTGCTTTCTAACGCGTTATTCGTGCCTGACGTTACCATTAGTTTGATTTAGGAAATGTTTTTAACATTCATATTTTGGTTGTTTCAAAATCCTAGCCTACCTAGTCATAATTTGTGAAATGGTTATTTCAATAAATCCCAACCACAAATTGTTGGTGTTTTTCTTTGTCCTCTCAAACTTGGGGAGGCGCACAACTAAATATGAACTAGTATACATTTTTGTTTAGGGGCCAGCTGAAGACCGCCTCAGGGTTCGGGATTTTCTCGTTGTGTTGAAGACCCTTTGGTGGCCTTGGGCAGTTTTCTGCTCTTTGCTCGGGTTGTTGTCTCTTTGACACATTCCCCGTTTCCATTCTCTATTTTATTTTATGAAAGACAATGGCGACGGACGTGCTCATAATATGATGCGTTTAACTGAACTCTTCTTTTTTTCTGAGACTTTCAGTTAACGTAAAAGATAATTATATATTTAAATATAAAATTATATAATGCTTATGTTGTTTAAATGCTAAATTAGAATACCCATGTAATTGCTTTTCTGGCATCAATTCCCTTTTATATATGAAAAACCAATTAAACCTCCGTTGACGAACCTATGATAGAGTCCACTCTCAATTCTTCTCCCAGCAATGTTGTCAGAGTGTCATTCCGTTTCAAACCATTTGTAAAATATGTTCCTGAGACTATGTGATTTTCCATAACGCCTGTCCAAAAGAATTGAACTTAAGGTAGTATCCCACACGATTTAAAAATATAAAAAAAAATGTTTACTCTTAATATTCAACCGTATTCTGATGAAAATAATATTCAACGGCCACTAACAGCATGACAGATTAAATTCTCGAACTGTATTATTATACCTTGGCATATGTTTTGGACACATCTTTGTTTATTTCATCACTAATATAATTAGCTATATTATTATCTTTATTTCAAGAATGAAATGTTTTAGACTCCATGCCGTTAACCCTGAATCTTATTTAATCCAATATTTTTGATAGTCGGTATATAAGTAACATAGATATTAACCAATCTTAAATTGAAATGAAATATTTGATCATTTGAAAGGTTTTTAAAAAAAAAAAACGATTTCTGTCAAAAATGTCACAATGACCCTACTAAAGATCTGTTCTTCCTTTTTTACAAATGCTAGTGACTCCTCATTGGTCGGATTTTATAATGTTAAGTCGTACACAGTTTTCTTATTATGTAAATCAGTCATTAATTAAGAGTAAGACGGAAAGTAAAGTAAATAATTACATTTTTCTTTACTTTACATTTGTTGCTCTAGCTCATCTGGTGCATGTAATACAAACATGATTATCTCACTATGTTAGACATACACTTTTAGTATACAAGTTTGGAATTGATTATGATGTGAACGTATTTTACAATGAATATACATACGGCGAATTGCTGTTTTGTTTCCTCTTAGTTTGTTCATAGTCTTGTTTGGAAGTGCTTCCCATGGGAGGTCCGTGGGAGCAAATAGTGTATATGGTTCATTTTCTGTAAATAAAAACATGAATTAAGATCAAAGCTATCGTATATATATCAGAGCATGCAAGACATAGCACTATATACAAATGAAAAGTAAAATTGTAAACTAGGCAAGCCCGTTATAGTATTTGATTTACTTCACCTGCGTTGTGTACTGCGATGTGCATATGTAACTCAATAGGCATTCCAACCGGTGCTAGGGGCCGTCTCAAAATTATAAGGTGTGAGTTTTGTTGCTCTGTGTTTGATGGCCTCACTTTACTTAGAGTGGTTTTATGTCAGGAATTTATAAATACGCCATTTACCTTCTTGTCCATTCAATTCCTCAACCCCTCGTCCAAAAAAAAAGAGAAAACGAATAATCTGATCATTTTAATTATTTTTGAAAAACTTCATTCGATTTCTGTCCAAAAATCACAAAGATGTCTTAATTGTCTATTTTATTTGTCTTTTGTCAGTAAGACCCAAGAAATAAAATCAAAACATTTCCCATGCATTCCATGTAAACTGGAAGTTAAGTAGATAGTCTTATCCAATGATTCGAAGAAATGAAATCTCTGTCAATTTATGAGCCTCTGGTACATATAAAAAAGATTCTTACATACTAGGTGTATTCCTTTAGGCCTATCTTTTTTTCAAAAATAAGAAAAGTCATATATAATTGCCTACTGCTCAACTGTTCAGACAATCCACCGTCCATCAACCCATAAGCCATAAATGTAGTGATTGGAATATTGACGATTTGCGCTACGGATCCATATGCTGGTGGCCAGAACATGACACGTGACAGAATGTGCACAATACCATTAGTTGCCTCATGATCAAAATTCACAATAGGACTTCCTCCTGCAGTTATTATCTATGTTTAAAAGTACAAAATATTTATCTACGTAGTTGCGTGTTTCTTTTATGATCTTAAGTTTAGAAAGTTTTTGGAAGTATGAATAATGAAAGATTAAAAAAATCAAATCTCGTAATAGAAAACAATCATTTTAGTCACATTATACAGTGCTCAGTAATGAACCTTAAATCAAAATTAGGGGTATATTGTAGTAAAAACGTTACTTAATTGTCGGAATGGATATCTAAGATTTATTTCACAATAGTAAAAAATCTTTTCGAAAAAGTCAAATGACAATTCCAAGGGTTCAATTTTAATTGTATTCGAAGAAGGCCAGTCTACACAAATACCGAAAAATACACAAAACGCTGCATATGAACCCCTAAAACCCTTCTCTCCCTTGCAACATACGGGTATCTGGGTCACCCCTTTTGTCAAGCATCTGTCAGAGCCAAACAGATAAAGGACAGGGAACCAGTCTACTAAAACCAAAACGTGAACTCAGATGCACAGTATTGGTAGGTCATTCTTGTTCTACAGATGATACCAGTCATATTTACAATGTAGTTATCAACCATAGCTTATTTGGAAGGTGTATCCTGATTTTATTAAATTTCAAAGTTTTCCCCGTCAAACGTATACCAATTAAGTTCCAATACTTTAATTAGTTTTGCGGAATATTCATAAAACTCACATAACTAACACGAAACAATCATCTAAAAATCAACATCGTAAAATAGATGTATTTGAGGACTTCCTTACAGCAACTCTTTTATATTATTTTCTAATTTCTGAAACTTTTGAATGATCTGCTATGAAGTGAAAAGACATTATTCTCATGTATAACTCTGATTCCTTGTCCAGATTTGGCTACACTTTAGGTCCCTGTTGGTTTGATCAGCTCTTCAGCGTGTTGATAAGATTTAGAATTTTCATATATTTTAGATTGGGGCATCACTGAAGAGACATATTTAATTTGCAACACGATAGACTTTGCATTGTATCAAAAGAAATCACAAACAGACATAAAAAGTTATCTCAAATAACATGTCTCATACCTTTCCTCCATGGTAAATATTAACACGGACTTTTAAAAATGAATCTTCATCCTCCATTTTTGACCTTGATTGGTACAAAGCCTCGTTTCTAAAACTCTTCTTATCGTGACGCCCAGAAACTAAATGGTACAGCAAAATTTCCTTTGCGTATGACAGGTCCTTTAGATTTTCCTTCTGTTCATCTGGTAGGTCAATGAAGGCATCATTAGATGGGATGAATACCGTCGCGTGTCCTGCAACAATAAACAATGTCATATTCTACTCTAAGGTTTCCATAATTTTACTTGTTAGACAATTCATATTTAAAATATAATGTAGAAAAGCAACAGATGATTCATTCTCGTTCAAGACCTGAACTATCGTTAATCAGATAGAATCAAAATCAAACTTACAAAAATGTAGGAAACGACAATTCATCTTTTGTGACTTCGAGGTCGATGAACTTTGAAAAAACGTTTATTCTAAATTTCTTGAAAACAAAAGTTGTTGCAGAAGGCAAGTGGGAAAAAACTTCTTCCCATTCAAATTAGGGTGAAAATCAAATACGACATTGAGTTTGAAAAAAATCTTGTTCCTGTAGTTATTAAAAACTAGCTTGTTTGTGTATCAAACAAAATTGACCATGATATTCTCATTTTTTACAATAGAAGCATGTTGAACAAAGTAGTCGAATATATTTTCGCAACAAATGTTTTCGTAACAAGCAATAGTATTTATATATTACCAGTATCTATATTCTTAATGTATTGAATACATTCCATTTTTATGTTATCTCATATATCAGATAAGACAAGGACTAAAAATCTACAACCCAGTTTTTAACTAATAATATTTGATATTTATGTTATTATGAAAGTTCACTAGTCTTCTTATAGACTTTTTGTCAAATATTTGGAATCCTCTAGTTTTATCCATATAGTGCCAATAAAACAAATTTCCCGCTAACCCCTACTCTTCTTTTCATAATTTTATAGCATATTGTTTAAAAAGCCATTTTTGAAAATGTTAAAAAAGCCTTGTTATTTAATCATAGTTTCTGAAAGAATAAAGGTGACAATGTTAAATGTATGAAAATTTAGAGAGAATCATTTCCCGCCAAATTTTCAATTGCTTTTATCACAAAAACAGTTTTCGTTATATTCTGCAGATTGTTTGTTTACCCTAGTTTTCGTCTAACAGAACAAAAAAAAAACTATCTGCTAAACCTCGATAACCACCAAACTTAATTACTAAACCTGAGGAAATTGTTAAATTTTGAACTTAAATTGAATTTAAAAATGAACATTCAGGAAACATGAAGTTAAATTACTGTTAAAGTTTTCCATTTCTTATTCCAATTTTAGATTCATGCACTTAATTAAGGATGTTCGCTACTCTGTTTCAAAATAACAAGCTTTTTAAAAGACTGTTATAAATTGATAGTATACAAATAAAGGAACTAAAAAAGCAGAACAAAATGAAGGGTCCGTGTGCTTGTTTTCGAGATATAAGCCATTGAAAATTTGGCGGGAAATAATTCTCTCTAGACTTTTCATATATTTAACATTGGCACCCTTTTTCTTTAAAAAAATATGAAAAAATAACAAGGATTTTATAGCATTTTCAAATATGACTTTTAAACTATATGTAATAAAATTATGAAAAGAAAAGTAGGGGTTAGCGGGGAAATTTTTTTAATGGCAGTACATGGATAAAAACAGAGGATTCCGAATATCTGGCAAAAATTCAGAAACAAGAGAAGCGAACATCCTTAACAGTACCCTATTTTATGGCTGTCAGTCGATCGTTATTTATCATATCAGCACTACCTACTTCACATTGAATATATACAAATACATGTGAAAGATATTCTTATTTTCCTACAATATTTTCCAATAATTTAACTGTTTAAAATAGATGTGTATTTCTCCTGCCTTGCACCTAAAAAAAATCAAAATGAAATAAAAATAAAATAAAGCAGTTATAGCAATTTGATGCTCTCTTCCGTTTTCAATTAAAAAAAACGCATGGGTTAAAAATCTATACATTTGAAATAGCTGACATTTTGAAAACGCTTACTTACATCCTTTGTATTTAGCTTACCTGTTAGATTAAACTTTGCAGTTAGATTAGTTTTAGTTACAAGTGAAAGGAAGGTAGTAGCTCCAAGTTTATATGCAACATCAAGCACATTGTTTTTGCCTGCTGACTGAAAATTTTTACTATCTGGAAATGAAATATCAGCACTTTCTACATCAACATTGTGCAGAAAACCAAAAAGAATTACAAATAATTGACATTTGAATCCCATATTCTAAACATCGATGTACCTATTTAAATGTTGGTCTATCATTGAGTACATAAGACGGTCACTAAAGGTGAGTGTAGATAAAGCAGACTGGATCTATAATTTGAACTTTGATGGAGAAATAATATGAAATTGTCTTTCTTACTATTGATAGAGTTGGGGTGTTTGTAGCGAAGACCATAATCTTTCGCCAAATAAATATACATACATACATAGGAATGGATATTCATATTGCCAAACACAAATATATAGTTCTAATCTTTGTCCGTTCGTCCATAATCTTTCAATAATGAAATTGTTCACGCTTTAGATGCATGGACGAAATTCATGAAGTGATCATTTCATTTAACGGATAGACATGGTATCTATCAGTTTCTTTAAAAGAAGTCACGCTTAGCAAAATGAAAATAACACTATATAAATGTGTTGCATCCAAGCGCTTTCCATGATTTACCTTCTGGAACGTTCATGCCCAAAATCTTTTCATTTAAAACAGGCGACATCTTGTGTATCAAGCATTGTGCATGTTAACCCCAATGAGGGGATAACACAAATGCATTGTTAAAGAGTTAGCTTCTAATTTTTTTTTAAATTAAATTACGACTACGCAACGACTAAGATTTCTCCCTGACAATAAATTTCTCTTTGGTGATGCTAGAGGCCAAAATATTTGAAAATCAGTACCTTATTAAAAACACGAAGAGCTGATAAACCACAATGACAAAAAAGTATAGCCAAAGTCGTCAATGATTTAGAGCTTTCCATGAGAGAGATATATTCCTTCATCTAAGATAATAATCAAAATTGTGTAACAGCAAATTTTGATAATACAATATCCGTATTTTCATGACAGTACCGATGTCCTGGCTACTCGCCATGGGCTGATGATACTCTCGGGGACTAACAGTCCACATGCAGAGGTATCGACCCAGTGGTAGAAATAACATTACCAATTTTACTGCATCAGATACGCATTTTGACAATAATTGTCTCTTCAGTGATGCTCTAGGCCAAAATATCTGAAAAACAAAACCGTATTAAGACTTTTGTTTGTTCACGTTACTCATGTTACTGTGACTACATATAGGTGCGTCAAAATAAATAATATGTATTCTTTGCATTATATAAATATGTCGCATCCAATAAGGTGTATGAACTCCATTCTAACGAGCATTCGTTTCTTGCTTATGGTGGGTGATGGATGCATATCCGGAGACTCTTACAATGTCGACGCACCCGGTCTCGATCTTTGTTTAAGTTCATGTGATTCTCTCAGTTTTTTATTTTTTTTTTTTTATTTTGATTTGTATTTTTAGGTGTCTATACATTTTCAAGCTCTGAATCTAAATTATCCAGAGTTATTCAATAAGCAATTTTGTGTAATCGTTTAAATGAAATACTTTAGTATACAGTTATTCTGCAAAAAACAAACGGTTTCACCTTGTAAGCTCTTTAAAAGTTTAAAAAGACAAACCATGGCCCAATATATAAAGGACAGATGCACGGTTGGATTAAAACAATAAGTCCAAAATTTATGGACAAGAGGTCCTCGTACCATATAAATTAAAACCGGTTTAAAGTAAGGTCTCTTATATCGAAGGTTAACATCTTTCAGTTGTCTTTGCACAGCAACAGACAGAAAATAAGCTTTATACTAAATCCATTGGATGTTGGATGTTGGATGTGTACTGATTTATAATTTAGTCTTAGATACGTGATTTTTCTTATAAGTCGTAATTTGCTTTGAACTAGCTGTCAGTAACTGAGAGTAATCTCACTCAGATCTGTACTTAGTGTCTGTTTTGTTGTTAGGGATGAGGGATGGATAAATACCCTGCCACGTCCAGTCTGTGTTTTTGTTATATGTTTTTCTGCTTTGTATCGATCTGAAGCGTGAAGTCATTTTCAACCGATTTTTATAGTTTGTTCTTATGTTGCACTGTAACACCAATTACCCAGGTTAGTGGAGGGTTGAGCGCTCACAAACATTTTTAACCCCGCCACCTTTTTTTATGTGTCTGTCCTAAGTCATGAGCCTGTAGTTCAGTGTTTGTCGTTGGCTCATGTCCGTCATATTTGTTTTTTGTAAATTGTTTTGTTATAAATTAGGCCGTTAGTTTTCTCAATTGAATTGTTTCATATTTTTCATGTCGGGCCTTTTATAGCCGACTATACGGTATGGGTTTTTCTCATTGTTGAAGGCCGTATGGTTGCCTATAATTGATTACATCCACTTCATTTGAACTTTGGTGGATAGTTGTTTCATTGGCAATCATACCACATCTTCTTATTTTTATATATATATATCAGCTGGTTAAATAGAATGAGAATGGAAACGGGGAATGTGTCAAAAAGACAACAACCCGACCAAAGAGAAGAAATCTGTCCAAGGCCACCAATGGTCTTCAACACAGCGAGAAAATCCCGCATTAGGACGCGAGCTTCAGCTGGCCCCCTAAACAATAATGTAGACTAGTTCAGCGAAATGGGCGCCACACTGAATTCCGAAACATATAAATGAACCAACATAAAAAAACAAAAAACACACACAAGACTAACAAAAGCTAAAGGTTCCTGACTTGGGACAGGCGCAAATCTGCGGCGGGGTTAATAGATATAAAAAGAAGTTTTTGATATCTCAACGCTCTCCCTATACCTCTAGCCAAAATAAAATAAACAAACACACAGCAATTCGCACAGTAGAACTCAGTTTAAAAGAAGTCCCTGTCCGATGTTAGAATATGTAACAGAAGAAGCTAAGAAAATGACAATGATCAACATAGATTAGCAAAGGACTACTAGCATTTAATCTGAGACTACTCGCAGTTACTGGTAGCTAGTTCAAAGAAATAACAATTAATAATCAAAGATTCGTCGGTGCTGTGATCAAGACATTTGTTAGCTACAGGTAGTCCAACATTTTTTGTTATCTCATTTTCAATAATTTTTTTCTTTATTTAAGCTCCTGTAAAACATTTATATAGAGACAACCATCGCAGCTTTGGATAAATGATCTTAGCCCAAAATGTTAACTTGCGTTTGACATGTTTAAATTGTTTTACATTTGTCATTTCGGGGCCTTTTATAGCTGACTATGTGGTATGGGTTTTGCTCATTGTTGAAGGCCGTATGGTGACCTATAGTTGTTAACTTCTGTGTCATTTGGTCTCTGGTTGAGAAGTGTCTCATTGGAAATCATACCACATCTTATTTTTATATTAAACACTTTAAACAGAGAAGAAAACAAGGGACAATCTAAAATCATAAGTTTAAAAGAAAACACAAGGATTGAAATGTAGAACGTCATCATTTTGACTATTATTTCACCAAAAAATTACCAGTGTTATTTTTCCTTTTTAAAATCACCCCTTTCAGCTCATGAAATTCTCAGAAAAAAGTGTACTTCTTCTATAAAAAAAAATATAAGGTACTTTTGACAATCAAAGTAATCGAAATCACTGAATACAGATGGAAAAACTGGAAGAGTTGCGTCCCTAATTTATCAGTTGCAATAACAAGCTTGTCTCCCTAAATTTACTTGTAAATGGTTGCTTTTGGGAGTATTTCTATGTTGAAACATAGGTATTCATTTTTTCTAATTCATCTGAGGATCATTTATTGATTTTGGATTTTGTATGACACTGAAGATGAACACTTTTATTTCATTCCCCTAATAATACTAAAAAAAATGTATACAATTGCTCAAAAATGGAGAATTTCTCAATATTGATACAAATTCTTTTGATACTTCTATTTTTAGAAGGGGTACTGATTTTTTTAAAAGATCTTCTTTTTTTAATTAAATACTGATGACATGATTGGAAATAGACATCTTTAAAGAAAGGTGTCGTAAGGTGTAATATATTTTTTTATTGAAGTTTGACTTAATTATTTCCAGAAAGAGGCATTGTGAATGAACTTTTTTCAACAACAAAAATTAAATAATTCATCTTTATTTAAATTGATGTTCATTCTTCGTTGAGATAAAAAAAAATCTTCATTGAGATAAATAAAAAATAAAATAAAAAAAAAGTACCGGTATTCAAATACATGTACAAAAAAGCCTTACACTGTTAAATAGCAATAAAACGGAGAATAAACAAATCAAATTGCAGAAAATGCCCTGGTTAAAGTTATGCATATTATAAATATAGTAGTTGTTTATTGTTCCCAGCAAATCAATTATAATTGTAACTTAAATTTACCTAAATCATTGACTCATATCAGATGAATATAACACTGATTTCACAAGTAAAATAGACCCTGCATGCATAGTATATACTTATTTTGTTTTTGTATTTTCTTTGCAAAAATGCATCTTTTTAATACTTAACCATTCATCTTTGAGACATCATTTATAGAATAATTTCATAACGTGATTATAGGGTATCAAGGTCAATAATTGGCAATAAATTGTGTATTGAGATTTAATAATTACATTACATGTATGTTTCACGAGAATCCGTTAGTTTGATTGGCTAACAACAATCGCTAGTCATTCAAAAATTACAAAAAGAAGCATTAATTTCTTAAATAAATTGAGCTTTTATGCAAGCGGGGGCATAATCATGCCCCCGCTTGCATATCATATATAGTTATAAAGGGACATAACTGAAGAACGGTAAAAGTGACGTAAAATAAAGTGTCTATTCAATTATGTAATACAAGAGATATCACCTAATGCCAATTACTTAAGATTGGCATTAAAGTGAAGGTGATTCCAATTAATGCTCACACATTTGAGTGAAATTGTTTGTAAATAATGACAAGTGTCTATAATATACTGTCTTTGTACCAGTACTATTACTTGCATAAGGAAAGAATTGGAATAATAGCGTTTCAAATAAATGTGGATTGTGTCCACATGTGGACACAGATGATGCCCCCGCTTGCATATCATATAGTTATAAAGGGACATAACTGAAGAACGGTAAAAGTGACGCTACCCAAATTTGAACTTGATCTGAGTTTTGTGGTAATAAGCATTGTGTGTAAGTCTCATAACATTTGGTTGAGGCTAACTTAAGTAGAGAACAGGTACTAAAAATTCAGCAATTTTTCTATTTGTAAACACGCATAACTCTAGAACAGTTGTGTAAATGTTTTATAACATTTGGTTGAGACAAACTAATAAAATTTAGAAAACGGAAACAAAAAATTCAGCAATTTTTATGTTTATAAAGGGACATAACTCAAGAATGGTAAAAGTGACGCCACCAAATTATTTCCTAATCTGTATTATGTAGTAATATGCATTATGTATAAGTAACATAACATTTGGTTGAGGCAAACTAAAGTTAGAGAACGGAAACCAACTTTGGGACGCACGGACGGACGTATAGACGGACGGACGAACGAACTAACGGACGGACAGACCGAAAAACATAATGCCCCTCTACTATCATAGGTGGGGCATAAAAACATGCGTAATATTGTATATCAATATTAAAATTTATATACTCTGTTCATTCAAAAGATATACTTAGTCTAGTATTTGGTCTATTTTAACAACTCCTTTCACATGTTTCAATTACATTCGATGACTAGAGGCTCTAAAACAAATCGTCATTTAGGCGCAATAAATGATATAGGAAGACAACTAACAATGTCATCTAAGATCAGAGTCAACTGGCGATTACAGCAATATTCACTTATTGGTAACAGGGGCGGATCCAGGATTTTGGAAAGGGGGGCGTAGTATTTAAAGTTCGCCGAGCGGAGCGAGGCGAAAATTTTTTTAGCCCTTTTTTGGGCTAAAAAACATAAGTGTAAAATGCACATTTTTAACGGTTCCTGACGTGGGGCATGTATATTTTATAGTTAAAGTGTAAGCTAGGGTTGGACATTTTTGATGCCGCATTCTCCCCATTAATTGTCTATTATAAAATGACTGAATGGATCCAAAGCTATGTACAACTAATATATTTGATGTGGGATTTGTCAGTAAAAAATGGACATGGAAAATTCTCGTTTGTTGTATGGTTAGTTAGCATAACCTCACAGATTTCTTTTTGTAAACATGTATGATGATATGCGGCTATTCAATGAAGTTTATAATACGACCGACACGAACAAAGACCAACAAGCATTTTTTATCCAAATGTTTGGTTGAAATGTTCACCCAACAAGGGAAGTGAGGGGTCCCAAATCAACCAAAGGCTACGAATGAGTCTGAAAATCAAATGACAACGAAGTTGTGAATGACGGTCGACAAATGGAGACATAAAGGCCACACCCAGCAGGCAGGTTGCTGTTGGGCCTTGAAAAAAGTATTCAGTATATCAGTTCGGCGACACAGACATTTCGGTCAGATATGGGATTTACATGCAAAAACCCAAAAAAAATTTACGCCCGTTTTTTTATTCACCATGTTCATTTAATGCTGAATAATTCTGTTGGATTTTTTTTTCTGATAGCAAAAAGGGGACACGAGAATTGTTTTCAATACAGATACGGCCAGAATTTTTGTTTAAGGCAAAAATCAGGGTCACATTTTTTTCTCTAAAATATCTCAGACTGCCCTATCAAATCAAATGGTCCGTACCTTAGACTTTAAATCTATCTAGAGCTTACTGACTGGGGATCACTATTCAGCAATGTTATTAATTGGCTGGGGCGTCTGGGGTTAAACATATTTTTGTAGGTAAATAATATTGCTGTGGAACTTTTTTTTCATGAGAGTGTAATAGAGTATTACTTTCTGTTGAGTGGAATTGTGAAATAGAAGTCAATACGTGGTTCTTGTTCGATCCTTTGTCGCTTTGAAAGAGTCATGCTTGTCATCCTCCGCCGTAAGCAATGTGTTACTGTAATTTAAATTTCAAAATGACTGAGTGACGTTTTTTTCGACGTACTGATCAACTCCACCGTAGCGAATCCACCCGATCCTGCAATGTTAGACAGTAATAGTGGAAATCTATTAGTAAAATTAGTCCGCTAGTAGTACTAATAACAGTATACTTTTATACTGCACAGTACAAATGTTAGAAGTTGTAGAACTAACAACGTACAATATATACATATTACTTAGTACAAACACGGATCTTTTCCGGGATATTATGGCGTAGTATTACAGTTTCAGTGTTACCACTAATAAGGTTAACAACGTACTTGTTATATTACCCGGATCAACGCCGGGAACAACTTCTGCGGTAAGCGACTGCTTATGTCAGTTTTTGAAACAACACAAATTGTAATTATGGAGTATTACGATATTAGTCGTCATAAGCGACAGCTTAAAAAATTATAGTTAAAACAATACTCTAAATAGTCCTTTTCTTTTCTTTTTTTTAACGAATGCTTGCTATTCTAAAAAGACTGATTTTGCTTACTCGGAATCATAAAAAGTTTATTTATTTTGTAAAAACGGCTTTTTATTTGTTGGCTTTAGATATATACCTCCACCTGAAGCTAGGCAATAGCTCTTTGGCCAATAAACATCAGACTGAAAAATGAAACTATATTCATTTTTTTCTTCATCTTTTTAGGTTTTATTGGAAAATAGTTGCTATGACGGATCAGTTAGATGATACCTCAGTTCTCACTCCAGCATGATGCAAAATGTATCAAAATAAGCATATATGACTTAAGGATGTTCGCTCATTTTTGTCAGATATTCGGAATCCTCTGGTTTTATCCATTTAGTACCCATTAAAAAATTTGCCCATTAAGCCCTACTTTTCTTTTCATAATTTTATTACATATAGATTAAAAAGTCATATTTGAAAATCTTATAAAACCTTGTTATTTTTTCATAGTTTTTGAAAGAAAATGCTGCAAATGTTAATTTTATGAAAAATCTAGAGAGAATCATTTCCCGCCAAATTTTCAATTGCTTATATCTCAAAAACAAGCACACGGACCTATCATTTTTTTCTTCTTTTTAAGTTCCGTTATGATATTCTATAAATTCATAACAGTCTTGTTATTTTGAAACAGAGTAGCAAACATCCTTAAACATAACAGTTGGATTATCCATACCTGCATGATGGATTGGATACGAAATTTATTAAATAAGCATTATATGACATAAATCGACATAATGCGAAGCATACTTTTCATAACAATTATTGAGAATAATCTGTACATTGCATGTGCATAATCTGTATATATAATTTTTGAGAATATGTTCATGTGCCATGGTATTGTTTACTATTTTGAGCGCTCTCAAGTTGAATAAAGAATATGTTATAAGACAATTTCGCAGTGTAATATTTTTTAAGATATATTTTTTCGTTTACATTAATTAAGATGCATTTTTTTGGAAAAGCAGTTACAAATATATATCAAATATAAACCAGGATTTATAAATGTTTTAACCTATTTATCGCCCCGTTTATCACTCGATTTATTTTTTAATGTTCTAAATTATTTTTATTGGAATCTAGGCTAAACCTCGGTGCTACTTTTAGGTATGCACCCAGATCTACAACGTACGTCACGAGTCACGTGTTATTTGTAAGTTTCCAGCCGCCATTTTTGGAATTTTGAAGCGATCAAAGGTATGTATTCTATGATTTATTTGCCATGAAAGCATGTATCGGTAAAAATATATAGACAAGCACATAACAGGGGTCGATACTGACATGGTTTAGCATTACTGTTTCATGTTAACACGACCTAACTTTTCAAACACTCTCAAAAACCGTGAGCGGATCCTGCATCTGTACAATGTCAACATTGACGTTTGTGAAAGTACTATCTTTTCCCTCGTAACAGAATGATAAATATCCGAGGGGGGGGGGGGGGGGGGGGGAGGGTACAAGTCAAATCGGCACCTGGTTAAATCGGCATCTAGTCAAATCCAATAATATTTCATTATTTGATACAATATAAACAGATAAATAATTCAAAAAATCTCAGTAAAAATGTATAAATGATCTTTCTATCTTTAAATTATTGTTGGGGTTTGGCTTTATCTTTTTAATTTATATTACTCATTACATCTACATATAGCATGTATAGTTAAAAATCACCAAGCAGTTAGAATACATATTATAAGTTTTCTCAACAATCTATGACTGACGTTTTGAATAGTTATCTTTTCAATTGATATTAATAACTTTTATCAATTACAGTTATTATTACATAATTTATTAACATGTTTGTTTGTTTTAAATCTAAACGGGTTGTTATTGATGTTTTTTTACTTTAAAAACTTAGTAAAATACATGAAGCCATTACACAAGCTGTTGTTGTTTGATCATGAGAAAATTAGAAGCAGGAAAAGGGGAAATTATGAGTCCCTTTCATTACTATCACTAATCAACCTTGAATGTCAATTAAGGTGGTTTTTTTCAGGAAAGTTTAAACAGCATTAAACCAACAATAATGGAAAATTCTCCTTTAGTCATGTTGGTTAAAAAAGAGACATATATATGTCTCTGGTTAAAACATGCATAAAAATATCTATAAATACCGCGAATACACATCAAGTTGAATGGAAAAAATACATGCACAGAAACCACCCAAAAATGAAAATAAGTCAATATTTCTAGACAACGCCTTGTTTATTTTAATCTATTTGCTTCAAATACTGAAAATATTTAACATGGGTGGCGAAATGACTACATCGGGTGCCGATTTAACAAGGTACCAATTTGACCAAGTGCAGATTTGATCTCAGGTTACATTTGTACAAGGAGACAAAATTCAGCTAAATACCAAAATTGCAAATACAATTACACATAACCCAGAGATCATTATTTGCTTTCCAAAATAAATTACTGTACCAATCGGAATTTTAACCTGTGACCCTTTGCACAGAAAGTCTCTGCTCTACCAACTCAGCTAAATGAGTAATCCACAAGCACATGTTTAAGTATCAACAAGGTAAGACCTAATGACATACCGGCAATGTCAACATCACTTACCCTGGCTGTGTAAGTGTATTTTCATTCCACCCTGTTTTTATTCCAGGTGACTGTTTTTCACTAGAAAATATTGGATGTAAATAGTGTGAAAGCGTCTATCTTGATCATTGTTTTTGTCCAGCCTGTGACTATTGTCGCAGAAAGCTCGACATAGGGATAGTGATCCGGCGGCAGCGTTAGCTAACTTCTTAAAAGCTTTATATTTTAGCAGGTAGAAGACCTGGATGCTTCATACTTTGTATAAAGATGCCTCATGTTACGAAGTTTCCGTCTGTCACATGTCCATTGTCCTTGACCTCATTTTCATTGTTCAGTGACTACTTGAAAAAAAAGTTAAGATTTTTTGTAATGTTAATTTCTCTCTCATTATGAGTAATAGTATAACTATATATGGTAAGGTATGTGCGTAGCTTGCAAGGTCCTTATGCCCGTCAGACAGTTTTCACTTGACCTCTACCTCATTTCATGGATCAGTGAACAAGGTTAAGTTTTGGTGATCAAGTCCATATCTCAGATACTATTAGCAATCGGTCTTATATATTCGGTGTATGGAAGGACTGTAAGGTGTACATGTCCAACTGGCAGGTGTCATCTGACCATGATCTCATTTTCATAGTTCAGTGGTTATAGTTAAGATTTTGTGTTTTGGTCTATTTCTCTTATACTGTATGCAATAGGTCTACTATATTTGGTGTATGGAATTATTTTATGATGTACATGTCAGTCTTGTAGGTTTTATTTGACCTTGACCTCATTTTCGCGGTTCATTGCTCAGCGTTAAGTTTTTGTGTTTTGGTCTGTTTTTCTTAAACCATAAGCAATAGGTCAACTATATTTGTTGTATTGAAGAATTGTAAGCTGTACATCTCTGTCTGACATGGTTCATCTGACCTTGACCTCATTTTCATGGTTCATTGGTCAATGTTTAGTTTTCTTGGTTAAGTCTGTTTCTTAGAAACTATAAGCAATAGGTCAGCTATATTTTGTGTATTGAATAATTGTAAGGTGTACATGTATTTCTTGTTTGGTTTATATGACAGTGACCTCATTTTCTTGGATCATGTTAAGTTTATGTGATAGTTGTAGTAAAGCTTTATATTTAGGACTATCAACATAATATCAATGATTAGTATTTAAGAAGGCGAGACATTTCAGGATGTGCACTCTTGTGTTTATATTAGACCAGTTTATTGTTTAATACATAAATTAATAGGTTAAAATTAGAATAGTTTTCAAGGAACCAGTTTCATTATAAATAGATATTGACATTGAAGATATGATTTTATATCGAAGTCTACCAAAACGCAAATGCACAGAAAAACTTTGGCAATCCAGTATATATGAATATTACAATTTAGTGACAATTTAAAAGCATATATTATATGATTTAATTGATGGTTTTCATTAGAAAAATTATCAAAATTTAATTTGTAAATAAATCATTATATTGTGTTATCATGTAGTGTTCAAAGTGAGTACTAAAATAGTTCATCAGAAGACATCACTGTATATGAATCTTAAATACTTAAGTGTGATAAATCCCAGTTCATAGTAACTAGTGCAATCATTCCAGGTACAAAATCACTAGTCAGTAGTGTAATAATTCCTGGTTCAAAATCACTAGTGTTATTGTAAGCCATAATAGTGTCCTGTGAAAAAGTGTCCAGTTGGACAGTTTTTCATAGAATTTTGGTATTTAATAATGTCCATTGCCATGATATATTGTCCCTCAAGTAGACAGATTTTTACTGCAAAAGTTATGAAATAGTGTCCACCCACAGGACAAGTTTTCATACTAGTTGCTATTAAATTGTGTCCTCCAAGGGAAGTAATACAAAGGTCATTAAAAAGTTTTATTGTACTTGAAATTTTAATAAAATCAGAAGGATTGAGTAGAAATTGATTTATATAAACAAACAAATAATGGATGGAAGTGAATATAGATACATTTAAGTTCTAAGAAATACCCAGCTAATGCTAATAACAATGAAAGAAGAACAATAAGAAGGGAGTGTGTAAAGTATAAAATCAAATGTGAAGAACTTAACTATATTTATCATGAGAAGAAGGCAAAAGAAAATATTGAATTTTGGTATTAAATAATAATGTCCATTGCCATGCAATATTGTCCCCTAAGTGGACAGAATTTTACAGCAAAAGTTATGAAATATGGTCCACCTACAGGACTAGTTTTCGTAGTAATTGTTATCAAATTGTGTCCTCCAAGGAAAATAATATTGAACAGCATCTGTTACTTGTTTGAATTTAAATCATTATACATGTATATATGTTGAAAACATATACAAGTCTAAACTGAAAACGACGTTCAAACCTATGATTGCGTTGGATAAAAACCGCAATTTTTATACGTGTGCATATATATATATATATATATATATATATATATATATTAAAAAATAAGAAGATAAGGATGGTATGAGTGCCAATGAGACAACTCTCTGTCAAAGTAACAATGTATTTAAAGTTAGCAATTACAGAATTATAGTATTAAATAATGTCCATGTTCATGGACACTTTTGCATACCTGAGGACATAATTTCATAGGAAATTGTGTCCGGGACACATTTAAATAAGTAAATATTGTCCATGGACAGTATTTACTATGAAATAATGTCCGGTGGACATTAATAAATCCTACATTATCAGAATCCTGGTTCAAAACATTTATGTGAACATTCCATGGATGAAAAACACTAAGTTTACTTTGTCCATTTTTTACATAAATCAGCTATGCAAGTTAAATAGTTAATTCAAATATCCCCCAAAAATACCAAGCCCCATTTTTTATACATTTCCCCTTCAAAAAACTCTCTATAGAATTTTATCAAGAGTGGTGAATATTTTACTCTGGACCTGGATTAAAAACCCTAGTGAATTTTTGTTGGTGGATTATAAACACTTGGGATTTTCATCCTCCACTGGCGGAATCAAACCACTGTTACAACTGTATGTAGGTTTTACTTTTAACCAGTCCCTTGGTTTTTTTGTGTGTTGCTTAAGTGTTTTGTGTGTGGTTATAAATACACTTTGAAAATATGGAAAAAAAATTCAAATAGTTATAATTGCCATATAACATGTATAATAATAATAGTATAGGTAATATAATAATTACATATTGTGTGAAAAGATTGATTATGCTAATGGTTTGTTTATATTTTCTTTGTTGAAGCTCCGTGCCTAGACTGCAGTTTTTGGCAATTCTCAACATTAGGAAAGAAAACTTGAAACAGCAACCAAGATACAGATACATGTATGAACAGTTATTGAATATGTAAAACTTTTATTTTAGCGTACTCAACATCACCTGATTTTGTACTTGAATTAACGTTTTCTGGCTTTCTAATGAACATTGAAAATTTATACTACTCTTATTGGAGACTCAGTTGCAGCAAATTACATTAAATTTAAATTCAAAAGAACACACATTCTAAAATTGAGAATCATTTGAGAACTGAAATGGGGAATGTGTCAAAGAGAAAACAACCCCACCAAAGAGCAGAAATAATCCAAAGGCTACAAATAGGTCTTCATCTCTAGCCAATGTAGAATAAACAAACAGCACTATGCACAAGTCCTAGTCACATGTCAGAATAGGTACATTGTAAATGAAGAAACTAAGCAAAATGACCATGATACATAAATTTACAAAGTTCTACTATCAGTTACTGACATGCCAGTTCCAGATTTGAACTAAACTGATTGACAGATTATGTCTTCATCATATGAAAATCAAGCATAATCCCTCCTGTTTAGGGTGTAGTATCATACCATGGTTAAAAATATGAGAAGAACATAAAATTGAGAATGGAAATGGGGAATATGTCAAAGAGACAACAACCCGACCAAAGAGCAGACAACAGCCGAAGGCCACCAATGGGTCTTCAATGCAGAGAGAAAATCCTGTATCTTGCCAATACCGGTACCTGGTTTTAGAATAAATGTGTTTACATCTGATTTAACGACCCTATGAATGAATCAATATTAATTCCAAAATATACCATCTTTAATTACCCCAAAACAGTATCGTTACTATATATCCCTTCTAAATAAGTCAGATTAAACTTTTATAAACTGAGGTTTACTGGGGTGACTGACAACATTTTTGTGCTTTGTATAGAATATTACCATAAAATATTTGATGTGAAATTTAATTGCACATCCAAAGAGAAATACCTGAACGTATAAGATGTCTACATGTTGATCTTTATTTATGAATGATGTCCTTGTACCGATTATAATATTTCGTAAATGTTTTGACAAGTTTGTGATATCAAAAACTTTGATGTAATAATTTTCAGTAATACAGAAATTTCTTCCATTAAAATCAAATATGTTGTTACATACACGAGCGAATCGAACAAGTTCAGATATGTATAAACGTTACTCCATAAGATGGAGAGAATTGAATGTCAATAAATGTTTCTTATAATTAGTTCTTGAATAAATTCCAGTAGTATTGTTTTTTTCAAAGATAATATTGTATTATGATGTCATTTTGTGGGGAAAAAATCCCTCTAAACTATTCTATTAGTTAGCTAATTATTCACATACATGAATAAATCCTTATTTTCAGGTACAGATGCCCTTAAAGTTTTTGATGAAGTTAAGAGCAAGATACTATCCCATCCAGCAGTGATACGGTATGACCAATTCCCAGACAATATGACAAAGAATAACAAGTGGACACCAACAGTTCACATATGAGAAGATGTTTTTAAGGTAAACCACATTGCCAGTCTTCAAATGACACAGAAATTAACAACTATAAGGTCACCGTACCCCTTCAACAAAGAGCAAAACCAACACCACATACATGACATAGTCACCTATAAAAAGCCCCAAAATAAAAAAAAGTAAAACAATTCTAACGAGAAAACTAATGGCCTAATTTATGTAAAAAATAATATGTATTACTCAGCAACAAATAACAACTACTGAATTCGTAACATATGTTCCTGACATGGGACAGGCACATACAAATGTGCAGGATTAAACTAGTTTGAAGACGCCAACCCTTCCCCTAACCAGGAACAGTGGTGTAACAGTACATCATAACAACAGACTATAAACTTTAAATCAGTTGAAAAAGGCTTAACTCATCTCATGGATACGAATAGAATTACATGTAACAAAAACACAAATTGGACATGGATGAGTACTTGTACATCCCAACAACAAAAACTAGAAAACTAATGGCCTAAAGTAATTAATGAACAAAAAAATGAACGAAAAACAAATATGTCAAGAGTTTTGTGCCGACCACCTTTCCATCAGGTGGTCAGCTTTTTTTTCAAATTCCGTTTTTTTTTTTTTCGGTTCCACACCGTAAAAATTTAAATACTAATTGCTCCTCGCTGATTTGTTTTCATAGACAAAAATGGCAGATCGTCAAATTTCAATGTTTTCTTTTATTAATCGGGGGAAGAGAAAGGCAGATGACGATGGTGATAAGGAAAATTCTAGGCCAAATAAGTCAACTAAAATGGATATTTGTATTGAAATTGTTGAAATTGAAAAAAAGCATCAAAACAACGGAAAAGGCACATAGCGAAGATAAATATGAACAGGACTTTAAATGGCTAATCGTCACAGAGGAAGATTATTACTGTTCTGTGTGCCAAAAATACAGCACTAAAGCGAGGAACAGGACAGAAACTTGGATCGATAGGCCATGCATTCGCAGGAGAAGGGAGTCCTGCAAAAGCCATCTAGCTAGCTGCTATCCGAGATGCACAAAACTAATTTGTCAAATCAAATCAAAGAAGAATATTTGACAGTTTATGTGACTACATCTATTTATTTTTGTTCAATTCCATTAAATGTGAATACAATACTAATCCTTCTTTTTGTGACCCCTACCCACAGTAAAAAAAAAACCAGGTTGGAAATGTTTTTAAAAAAACAACACCCCGTTGCAAGTGTTTTTTTCAAAACACCCACCTTACCTTAGTGAAAAAAGGGGAACACTGTATGTAACACAGCAACAATGGCAATTAATTAACCACTGAATAACAGGGTCCTGACTTGGACAGGCACAAACACTTAAAGTATAGATCTGAGAGTACTCACAGTTACTGACAGCTAGTTCATGTAGTTCAAAGCCAATAACAACTAATAAAAAAAATCATGCATCTAAGACTAATTAAATTATCAATTAATACACATGCAACATCCATATATATGTATATAACTATATGATATTTAGTTTGATTTTAATTTACTGATAACAAATCAATATTAATACCAATAAAAGCAATATTCAAAGATCTAATTACAGTGTTGATTTTGGTAACCTTTTCGAATAAGTTTTTTTAAAGGATCTATAAGTTTACCTGGATCGTTTCTAAATTTCTGGGCTAGGAAAACAATTTAACATATGATCAACATATACATTTGTACTCATATTTGTTCTTTTTTTCTTTTGAGGCAGACTTCATACATGTACAGGAGCTTCTAAGGAGGGAATTGAAAAGAAGATTGCATTATCCTTAACTTCACATTTTGCTATAAAGATGATTTCCTTTTATTGAATAATTCAAAGAATGGTGACTTTGTTGAACGCATGTATCCCATTGAACTTGAAATAAAGGATTCAACAGATACAGGTAAATCTGCCTCATATCTTAACTGACATCTAGAAATAGACAATGAGGGTCGGTAAAGAACAAAACTTTTAAGACTAAAGAGATGATTTCATCTTACTAATTATGAACTTTATATTTCTGCAGTTACCACGATCCCAATACGGCGGAGGTAGAAATAAGTAAAATCGATTTCTGCTAATTTTCCGTTTAAATGTGTTGTTTTCAAGAACTACTCAGCCGCCAGGTTGATCTGTATGGTTTTGTTGTGTATGTGTGTTATAAATATCATGTATGGCCTCATTACCGAAATAATATCCATCAAATATTTTAGGAAGATAATCGTAACTTAAATAAAAAGATAATGGTAACTTGTGGACAAATAACTTGAAAGATTAATTGTAACTGCAGAATATTTCAATGATAATAGCTGTTGATTTTGATTTAAAAAAAAGAAAATCATCACTGGTGTTAAACTGATCATAGAAACTGCAGTTACCACTATCCCAATATGGCTGAAATAAGTAAAATCGATTTCTGTTAATTTCTCTGTAAACATGTTGTTTACGAGAATTAGTCTGCTGCTAGCTATGTTGATCTGTTGATGGGGACAGCGACTATATCTAAATGTTGCTTGAAAGTTTGATAGTGTTACCAGAAATAGTGCATACATAGTTATCTTAAACTAATTTACTTTTTGCTTTGTAGATATATATTCTATATATTTCGCAAAAGTTTAAATTGAGGGTAAATATTGATTGGTATTGAGTATACTTAAAGAGGTAAAACATGTACATGTATTCATTAATTTAAATGATTTTAAAGTTTTATTAGATAAAAAAATCAATCAATCAATAACCGTTTTAGCGTGCCCTTAGTACTGGCAACTTGGCTTGTGATACTCTCTGGGACTTGCAGTTCACTTACAGATATATCGACCTAGTAGTAGTTATAAGATTTTAAATAGTTACAATGATCTGGCGCTGCATCAGATGTGTATTTGACAACTCATATTAAGTCTTTTTTAAGTGATTCTCTAGACCAAAACCTAATATGCTACAAATGTCAATTGCCATAATTTGATCAAACTATCTTCTGTTTTTCTGGACAACTTGATATATCCTCTCTCTGAAACACAATTTGTTTTGACCTGCATCTCATTTTAGAATATAACTATGATTTCCCATTTTATGTTATGGCTTGATGGACAGACCGTATATCAAAAAGCTGTGATTAAAATAACTTGTCAATATTTTATGCTCAACCTATATATACCTATCACAATTTTCACAATAATTAAAAAATAAACATCACAAAAAATATTCATTTAAATGTAAAGTCCTATGCATACCAGTTATTTTTTTTTTAAATGTGAACTGTAGAAGCTAGGTCATTATTTGTATTGATATGCCAGGAATAGATTGTCATTATTCACAGTTATACTGTGGAACATGCTTTTTCCCCAATCTGTCAAAATTATATTAAAAAATGTCTACTTCTTTCAGGTGAATCCTTGCTGGGTCATTGAAAAACCTACTGGAAGTTCTTCTGATACTGGAAATTGAAAACAAATGGTCAGTATGATTACATTACCAGCATTGTATAAAATTCCTGTGGTAAAGAGGATTGCTTCAGTAAATGTCAAGCATTAATACTTCATTTCCACTTCATATTGACTTGTTGATGTCGGTGAATAAGATGATATGATGTTTTACTGTATTACAAAGGAAAATAATAGATTTGTAAATTACCCAAGTTTATTCTGTTTATTTATATCTTAATTTTCTCTTTCCTTAGTTACAAATGTTGTTTTAACTTAATTAAGTGAGTGTTGAATGTAAAAAGATAGAGATGTGGTATGATTACCAATATGACAGCTATCCACAAATGATGTGGATATAAGGGACAATAAATAATGCCTTCAACAATGAGTATTAAAGATCTGAACTTGACAAATTAAAAAGAATAACGACCAGATTTATGACAAAATAAAATGAAAAACAATTAATATGGAAACTAACCACTGAATTTCAGGCTCCTGGTTCCAGATTTTGGACAAGCACATACAGATTTTAATTTGGTTTAACTTGTGAGCACTTAACCAAGGAATATTAACAATATGTAACAAAAAATCTCTCCTTTGGCTTACCTTCTATTGAGTTCTTGCATAGAGTTTTCCATCTATCAGGAAACTGACTTATTTAATTCAAGAAATCCACAATTATTTATTTTTATTTTTCTCTTTATATATTGCATTTTTTCCTTAATATATCAAAAGCTATAATAGAAGAGAAGAGAACGATACCAAATGAACATTCAAAAGACCAACAGACAACCAATAGTGCACAAAACATATAACAGTAAAGACTGAGCAACAAGGACCCCACCAAAAACTGGGAGTGTTCTCAGGTGATCTGGAAGGGTAGGCAGATCCTGCTCCACATATGACAATTGTATAGATGTAGAGATAATTTAACTTGGTTTAACTTGTGAGCACTTAAATATCAAAAATGGTCTAGTTTCTGGTGTCAAAATTTATGAAACCTGAAACTGTATTAAATGTTTCTCTTTTGTTTGGGACAGAATTAAGTATTTGTTTATGTGCATCACTAAAATATGCAAGACAGGCCCTACACCTGACAACCTCATGTTTTTTTATATGACTGCAAAAATATTTTGGGGTTTGCATAATGCTATGATGCTGTTTTTACAAGAAGGTTCAATACCACAAAAGGAAGGTTGGGATTGATTTTTGGTGTTATGGTACCAACAGTTCAGGATTTAGGGGCCAAAAACAAGTATTTTTATAGTTTCTGGACAATAAACTTGTGTGTAAGTGTATGTGTAGGATTAAATAGTGTCCCCCATGAAATTATGTCCCATGGACAAAATTTCACGGATATGACCTGTGAAATTTTGTCCAGGACAGAATTTTATTATAAAATATTGGCCACTTCTGTGTAAAAGTGTCCCTTGAAAAGATATTCTATTTTAACCTTTGTTGGATATTTTTTCATAGTGAAATCATGTCCAAATTGCATAAAAGTCTTGTCTAATACCAAACAATTTAATTACAATAAATAATAAGACTAAATCGACATTTGTTTTTAAATATACAGTAGGAATCAATGAACTGTTTTAACATCTTTGGATTGTCATTTTTAACAAGATCAATAATATCATGAATAATATTCATAAATACTCGATTGTCGCTTCTTTTTGCGCATACGTTTGGGTCTAAAAGGCATGTATATAAAACATTTCATTGTTTTTAATTTCAAATTGCTTGGCCTTCCTTCTAAATGATCTTCTTTCATTATTATTAAACTCTGGAGGGTATTGACCATCAAACAAAAAGTCATATAGCTGTTTATATTCACCACTTTCCATATTTGTTCACATCTGTTGTCTTGATTTAAATTTCAATTATGATTTGACTAATTGATTAAAACATTTCAATGATTGCTAAATTATGTCCCTTCTTTAGGGACAGAAAAAACAGCTACACTATGAAAAATTGTCCCATGTGACATATTTTTATAAAACATCTATGAAATTATGTCAAAGTACTAGGGACAATTTTTCACTAAGGGAGACACTATTTTATTGTCGAGCCTTCGACTTAAGTCGAAAAAGCGAGACATAGCGATCCTACATTCCGTCGGCGGCGTCCACAAATATTCACTCTGTGGTAAAGTTTTTCAAATTTTAATAACTTTCTTAAACTATCCTGGATTTCTACCAAACTTGGACAGAAGCTTGTTTATGATCATAAGATAGTATCCAGAAGTAAATTTTGTATAAATAAAATTCCATTTTTTCCGTATTTTACTTATAAATGGACTTAGTTTTTCTGCCAGGAAATATTACATTCACTCTGTGGTTAAAGTTTTTAAAATTTTAATAACTTTCTTAAACTATCCTGAGTTTGTACCAAACTTGGACAGAAGCTTGTTTATGATCATAAGATAGTATCCAGAAGTAAATTTTGTAAAAAAATTAATCCATTTTTTCCTTATTTTACTTTTAAATGGACTTAGATTTTCTGCCAGGAAACAACATATTCACTCTGTGGTTAAAGTTTATAAAATTTTAATAACTTTCTTATACTATTTTGGATTTGTACCAAACTTTGACAGAAGCTTATTTATGATCAAAAGCTAGTATCTAGAAGGAAATTTTATAAAAAAATAAATCCATTTTTTCCGTATTTTAATTTTAAATGGACTTAGATTTTCTGCCAGGAAACAAAACATTCACTCTGTGGTTTAAGTTTTTAAAATTTTTATAACGTTCTTATACTATTTTGGATTTGTACCAAACTTGGACAGAAGCTTGTTTATGATCAAATGCTAGTATCTAGAAGGAAATTTTGTTTTCTTCCAGTTAACATTACATTCAGTCTGCAGTTAAAGTTTTTAAACATTTATTAGATTCATAAACTAGCTTCTTACAATCAAAAGATAGTATCAAGAGGAATATTTTTATTGATTTACTTCCTCATTTTTGTTGAGCCTGTGATTAACAGAAAAAGTAGGCGAGACACTGGGTTCCGCGGAACCCTTACAAATTTTAGTTTACAATATTGATATTCTGTCCCGTGAACGAAATTTCACAGATGAACTGTGAAATATAGTTCAAGAAGACACAATTTCATGGGACAATGGATCTCTCTGAAATTATACCACAAGGTTCCATATCACAAAGGGAAGGCTGTGATTGAGTTTGGGGGTAATTAATTGCCCCAAACATGCAGGACTCAGGGGCAAAAAAGAGGCCAAAAACAAGTTTTGTTTTCTAGTTTCCAGACAATAATTTGTGTTTAAGTGTATGGATCTCTCTAAAATTTGCCTACATGGTTCCATTCTACAAAGGGAAGGCTGGGTTTGAGTTTGGGGGTAATTGCTCCAGGGGGGGGGGGGGGGTTCAAACTTTTTTTAATTTCAAATTTTTTGTAAAGTTTTAAGAAGAAATCTTTAAATGCACAGTATTGCGCAATTGATTTTTAAGATCTTTGACAACATTTGTTTCTTGTCAGAAACCAATATTATGTCAAAAATTTGATCAGAATCCAAATTCAGACAGTAGCAAGCTTGAATATTGTGTCCAAATTTGCCCTAACTGTTCATGGTTCTCCCTCTGCGGTCGTATCAGGCTGCGCTCAGCGAAGCATTTCATTAGTTTCTTTGTTGATTTCAAAGGTATAGGGAAATCATGAATTTTAAATATCAAACAAAGTAAATATATCTTGTAGTCTAGTGTGTTTTAGTTGCATTGCATATCATATCTGTTATCCCTTGTAAAAGAAACTTTTCTTACGTTAGACTATATTTTTTTTCACAAAATAAAACAAATTATTTTTTCATATTACAACAGGGACAGCATTTTTTTTTACCACCACCACCCACAGAAATAAAAATTAATTAGAACAACACTCCCTTTGCATTTTGGTATTTCAAATACAACCACCCACATAAAATTTAAAAAAAAATACCTTCACTGGGGGGACATAATATTTTCTGGAACAGCCCTTATATGTTTTTTGGGGGACATAGTATTTTCTGGAACAGCCCTTATATGTTTTAGTATAAAAAAAATAGATTTCAAATTTTATCTATTTCAAGTTGATAAACACAAAAAAAACTGTGATAAATTATCTATATTACTCCAACCCAGCTAGATATCAGATGTGGTATTAAGTTTGCCAATGAGACAACTCTCCACCAGAGACCTAATGATGTAGATGTTAATGATAAACCACACATTGAAATGCCTACCTGCTCATTCTGGATATGACATCAAATTTTTCATTATCGAAACAAAATACATTTTACTATCTGTAGCTAGTAACATTATTTTTATACTCTTCATAGATTAGTTTTTGCAAATTAAACTATCTCTTGCAGATGGATTCTATAATCAGAGGGGAGATGTGAAAAAAATCTTTATTAAAGTAGGTTGATAATTCAAATTGAAAAATTCAATTTTAGCACTAACAGGTGGTTTTGCATTTCATTTATTTAAAAGTATTATAATTAATAATAGCCATGAAACAATGATTTTATTTTCAGGTCATTTTGGAAGAAAATTGATAGAGGAAAGATACAGATATACAAGAATTTCATATTTGAAATGCACTTAATATTTCTTTTGTATATGATCACCAAATTTTGGCAGTCAAATAAGGCCAATTAAAATTAATTGATAGATTTTCATTCCCGCCCGCCCTCTGAAAATGTCCCGCTGCGATTTTTTTTATTTTTAAAAATATACGATTTCCGGATTTTGTTCATTTACGTTACCGGTAACCGCCGATAATTTCGATTCATTTAAACTTCCTTTTTCAAATTTCGGTTTTCGTATTTCTTCGAGTAATATAAGTCGACATATTCTTCTGCTCAATGATGACAACATTATCTTTTGAGAATATAGATTGATTACTATAGAAGGACATACATTATTCGGCTTACGAGTAATTGGCGTTGTCCAAGAACGGTAATCACGGTTTGTCACAAATTTCAGTGAATATAAAACCGTCGATTATTTTATTTATACAATGACATTGTGTAAGGAAATTTAGACTGTGAATGATATCCAAAGCGCAAAAATCGTGGAACACATTGATACAAAATCATGACTGGAATAAAGAAATTAACACAAGCACGAACTTGTGCGATTTATGACCGTATATTGAGTACAAAGAGTCGGCCAACGTACAAAATGTATTATAGCTGCCATGGCTTAGATTTACCTCCAAAACTGTCATTTCAGCCCTTCAATAGAGTTATTAAATAACTTTTTTTTTTGGTTCAGTTCATGTTTTACATTGTAATTATATTTGCACCTTGCATAAGAATCTTAAAAGCATGAACCCTAGTATTTTCAACACAGTTTGAGTTTTCATTTCACTCTGTACTCATAATATTTGTGTTGCATACCAATGCATATGCTTCATTTTATGGGCACTATAAATCATAACTTAGAAAGCAAAAAATGATCTATGTAGTCTAAAAGAGAACATTTTTCCACGTTTTTGCTATTTACTAAAAATCGGTTTCTAAAGCGGCAATTACATGTAGAACAATGGTTGCCAATCGGAAATATTGATTTAAGAATTAAAACAAAAATGTAGAATTCCTTATATAAACATGATATAAGCTTATTATTACCCTTGTACATTGTGTATATGAACAACACGTCTCAAAATGGTTAAGGAGGAAATAAAAATTAAAAAAATAAATCCTCCCACCCGCCCCATTTTTTTCAAAAATCTGGATGAAAATCTTCTTATTAATTTTAGTTGGCCTAATGGTATCATTGTTATCTTTGCCATATAAACAAATATACCTGGTAAAATTTGTTCATTAGAGGAAACTTTAATTACAAATATCTATTCACATTAAATTTAGATGATTTTTTTACCAATTTTTTAATTTTAAAAATAAATCAATTGTTTTTATTCTGTGGGATTCAAAATGTTTTGCCATTTATGATAATCTATTTATTTTGAATAGTCTGAAATACATTTCATGAAAATTTCAAATTCAAAATAAGGCCTCTACAGTGCATACTCCATCACAAATTGAGGTAATGTTAGTATTGATTCTGAGGTAAAGGAGTAGGGGCATTAAGGCCCAGTTTTGGCACAAGAAAATAAAATGTTTGACAACTTTTTCAAATTGGCACATAATGTTTGGAAATGCATTGAGTGAAGAAATATAAATGAAAAACATAAGATTGTTTATATGATGACGTCACAGTTACGTCATAATATGTACCGTTTTCATGAAAAAGATGAAAAATGCAGAATTTTCGCAATTTTTCATCGTTATTTCCATTACGGAAACATCGTGCGCAGCCAAGAAACAACAAAATAATTTAAGAGAAGCTTTATTATAACTATTGAAATAATCTCACCAAATATAAAGTTGTTTCTTGGGTGCGCACATACTTTGCCAATCTTAAATATACTTAGAATTTGATGAAAAACAAGGAAATTCAAGAAATTTTATAAAATATACAAATTTCGTCATGGTTTGTTGCCATGGTAGCTCGTTTAATGTGAAATTTGTTTTTATTTTCTGAAAACCTTGTACCTTAGTCTAGTTAGGACAAATTTAAGGATATGTATGATAACTTTTAAATTTGCAGTAATATTTGGGCCAAATAAGGGGCTTATTGCCCCTGCTCCTTTGTTGCATTTATTATTTTAATGCGGTCAACATATTGCTAGGTCATCATATTAGTGTGTCCAGCATATCGTGGATTCATGAACAGTAATGAGTGCAAATTAGCATAAATATGTGGTCAATTTATGCTGAGACTACATAATTTTTTATTTTGGTTATTATTATTATTATCCACAGTTGTTGTGCATCATAAATTTTTAGAAATGTCTTCTTATAACAGCATTTTAACAAAAACTTATATATAGATGTATTAAGATAAATTTAGTAACTTGTATTAGGACGTCAGCAAAAATTGATAAATAATATAGGCCTATTATGTATTCCATGGGACAGATTTTGTTTTAGTCCATTTTTGTATAAATGTTGCACCTTTATTTTATCTTTTTCTAGATTTTATATGTGGCTCCACTCCTCACCCATTGACATGCTGGTTAAAAAGTAAAGAACACTATATATATATGAATATTTCAGCAAATTATGGTGGCAAATCTGTTAATTTTTTTAGAATAGTCATAAATTTTGCCAAATTATGCAAAAAATATTGTTTTAACAAAAACCTTACAGCCTATATATAAGAACCACAGACAATACTTACAGACTGTATATAAGTACCACAGACAATACTAACAGACTGTATCTTAGAACCACAGACAATACTGACAGACCGAATGTAAGAACCAAAGACAATACTGACAGACTGTATGTAAGAACCAAAGACAATACTTACAGACTGTATTTAAGTACTTCAGACAATACTAAGATTGTTTTTAAGAACCACAGACAATACTTACAGACTGTATCTAGGAATCACAGACAATACTTACAGACTGAATCTAAGAACCAAAGACTATACTTACAGACTATATATAAGAACCACAGACAATACTTACAGACTGTATATAAGTACCACAGACAATACTAACAGACTGTATCTTAGAACCACAGACAATACTGACAGACCGAATGTAAGAACCAAAGACAATACTGACAGACTGTATGTAAGAACCAAAGACAATACTTACAGACTGTATCTAAGTACCTCAGACAATACTAACAGATTGTTTTTAAGAACCACAGACAATACTTACAGACTGTATCTAGGAATCACAGACAATACTTACAGACTGTACGTAAGAACCAAAGACAAAACTTACAGTCTATATATAAGAACCACAGACAATACTTACAGACCATATATAAGAACCACAGACAATACTTACAGACTGTATGTAAGAACCAAAGACAATACTTACAGACCATATATAAGTACCACAGACAATACTTACAGACCATATATAAGAACCACAGACAATACTTACATACCATATATAAGAACCACAGACAATACTTACAGACTGTATGTAAGAACCAAAGACAGTACTTACAGACTATATATAACAAGAGTGCACACGCTGAAATGTCTCACCTTTTTTACTAATCATTGATATTATGTTGATAGTCCTAAATATAAAGCTTTACTACAACTATCACATAAACTTAACATGATCCAAGAAAATGAGGTCAAGGTTATATAAACCAAACAAGAAAAACATGTACACCTTACAATCATTCAATACACTAAATATAGTTGACCTATTGCTTATAGTTTCTAAGATACAGACTTAACCAAGAAAACTAAACATTGACCAATGAACCATGAAAACGAGGTCAAGGTCAGATGAACCATGCCAGGCAGACATGTACAGCTTGCAATTCTTCCATACAACAAATATTGTTGACCTATTGCTTATAGCTTAAGAAAAACAGACCAAAACACAAAAACTTAACACTGAGCAATGAACCGTGAAAATGAGGTCAAGGTCAAATAAAACCTGCAGGACTGACATATAGATCATAAAATATTTCCATACACCAAATATAGTTGAACTATTGCATAAAGTATTAGATAAAAAGACCAAAACTCAAAAACTTAACTTTGAACACTGAACCATGAAAATGAGGTCAAGGTCAGATGACACCTGCAAGCTAGACATGTACATCTTACAATTATTCCATACACCAAATATAGTAGACCTATTGCATACATTTTAAGAAAAACAGACCAAAACACAAAAACTTAATTATAACCACTGAACCATGCAAATGAGGTCAAGGTCAGATGACACCTGCCAGTTGGACATGTACACCTTACAGTCCTTCCATACACCAAATATACTAGACTTATTGCTTATAGTATCCGAGATATGGACTTGACCACCAAAACTTAACCTTGTTCACTGATCCATGAAATGAGGTCGAGGTCAAGTGAAAACTGTCTGACAGGCATGAGGACCTTGCAAGGTACGCACATACCAAATATAGTTATCCTATTACTTATAATAAGAGAGAATTTAACATTACAAAAAATCTAAACTTTTTTTTCAAGTAGTAACTGAACCATGAAAATGAGGTCAAGGACATTGGACATGTGACTGACGGAAACTTCGTAACATGAGGCATCTATATACAAAGTATGAAGCATCCAGGTCTTCCACCTTCTAAAATATAAAGCTTCTAAGAAGCTAGCTAACGCCGCGGCCGCCGGATCACTATCCCTTTGTCGAGCTTTCTGCGACAAAAGTTGCAGGCTCGACAAAAACCACAGACAATACTGACAGACTGTATGTAAGAACCAAAGACAATACTTACAGACTGTATCTAAGTACCTAAGACAATACTAACAGACTTTTTTTAAGAACCACAGACAATACTTACTGGTTGTATCTAAAAACCACAGATAATACTTACAGACTGAATCTAAGAATCACAGACAATACTTACAGACTGTATCTAAGAACCACAGACAATAATGACAGACTGTATGTAAGAACCTTAGTCAATACTTACAGACTGTATCTAAGTACAACAGACAATACTAACAGACTGTATCTTAAAACCACAGACAATACTTACAGACTGTATCTAGGAACCACAGAAAATACTTACTGACTTTATCTAAGAACCACAGACAAAACTTACAGACTGAATCTAGGAACCACAGACAATACTTTCAGACTGTATCCAAGTACCACAGACAATACTTTCAAACT